CACCCCCCCGGGAGTGTGGAGCCGAGCAGCAGGCAGAAAGTTGGAGCCCGGCCAGGATCTCCTCTTACACCCTCGCCCCGCTCCTGCCTTGCTCCTCGGCTGCTGCAGGAAAGCACTCCTTGCACGGAATGGCAACCATCTTTTCCCGCCCGGCTCTCTTCCCCCCCCACATCTCTCTCTCTTTTTTTTAAAGAGTCCTAGAAAACGACGCAAGAAAGCAATCCTCTCACTTCTGCTTTTCTTTCTACAAGCCCTTCCTGCACACACGAGGAGAGACGGGGGGGGAGGGGAGGGAAGGGAGGTGGCGAGAGAAGAGAAAAGCCTCTCTCTTTTGCATTGATCGAAAGCAGAAAGCACGCTCTGAACCTTGGAGAGAGAGAGAGAGAAAAAAAAAACCAAGCGTTGGGGCTGTCCCAAAAAAACAACCAGCGCCACACAGGAGAAAAGACAGCCGCCATGATGAAGCCCGACTTACTCGCGCACAATATGGAGTGAGCCCTGCCAGTGCAGGAATGGGAATTCAAGCCTCTTTTCAGGGCACCAAAGCCAGGGTGAACTGGGTGCGAGAGGTGGTTTTTGCCTCGTCCTGCCCCCCCCCATATCTCCAAATAAAGGGTGTTTTTCTCTCTTTCTTGCTCTCTCCCGAAGCCAGCGGGGTTATTTTCGGGCGCCTCTCCTTGCAAACAGCGTAGACTGGCTGCTGAGAAATAGCAAGCGCGCCCAGCAGCACCGCTCAGAAAAGGCAAAGCGTCTCGCGGGTGGGGAAAGGCAACCTCCATTTTGGACGTCCTTTTCCGAACTCCTGCTCTCTCTCGGACCAGGCTTCCTCTGGCCAGGGAAGAAAACCTCTGGAAGGGTACACTTTTTTACAAATTAAAGAGTCCATCTTGCCTGTTCAAGTCGATGGCGTCCTTCCCAACGTCCTGTCTTTGCTGTTTCTTTTTTGACAGAAGACAAAAGACCATAAAAAAAATAATAACACTCTCCACTGCTAACTGGAGGGGAAGAAAGACTCCTTTCCTCCATTATGTTGCCTGTACGTATTGGGATCTTTTTCTTTTTTTAAAAAAAAATCCCACCCTTACCTCCAGATTTAAGAGGAACAGTTTAGCAGAGAAATTAATACCGTCATGGATTTGCAGCAACTCTTCAAATTAACAAAGATGAAGCCAAGCCCTTTTGTTACAGGAGGATCATAGAAAGGAAAGTATCCTTTGGAAAGAAATAGATTCTGAATATGGACTTTTCACAAGAACATTAGCTCCCTTGCCCCCCACCAGAAAGTAACTCGGATATCCGCCCTGCACAAAAACATTTGTTGCACAGGCCTGCTCGTATCTTTCGTTGCAAGGGCAAAATGGTTTACTTACCCGCACACCATAGTTGAAAGCAGTTCTGGAGGTGAAGGTTTTTTTTGGGGGGGGAGAAAGTGGGGAGGGAGATGTTAAAAACCTATTTCTAAATATACGTTCTGCTATTTATCATCAGTTCTCTGCCCTATGTTTGCAAAACAAAATCCGTTGAGTCATTTCTACGGCTTTAACAAAAAAACAAAAGTACTGTATTAGAAAACATCGACTTCTTATGACTAACAGCATTTAGTCCACTTAGGGGAAAAAAATAAGAATTTCCAGGCTTACATCGGTAGGTATTTGTGGCAGATTTACTCTGCACATAAAAAGGACGCTGCGTGTTAAACTTTTCTCCTCGGCTTCCATTTTTAAAACATGATCTCACATACTTTCAAATTGGTACATGTTAGTGTGAATACATTTCACTAATAGTTACCGTATGTAAACATTTTAAGCATCTCTAACTAAATAAGGTTGATTTTAAAAGTACTTCAGAAGCAATTACTAATAAACAAGACAAAAAATGACATGCAGATGAAGTTTGAAAAACTCATTAAAAATAAGGAGAATTCCAGTAACATTACCAATGAAAACTACACTTAAAAGGACATAATGGATTGGGTACTTACAATGTAAAAGGAAAACAAAAAACAAAAAAACCCTTATCCTAATGATTTTTTTTCAACAATTCACGTTTCCTACATCTATATTTAAAACGTTACCTTGTTAGCACGAAAGGATTTAACTTAAAGATGGCCAGGTATTTAAGTGTTTAATACAGGAAACTGTATCTAAAAATGTTTTGCTCAGGCAGATAAAACAAAAACTTTCCAAAAACAAACACACCAAAAATACATTATGTATTTACTTTTTTTGGTCACTCAAAATTGTTACTGCTGACAGTAAGGGCGTGCCATGACCTAGTTATATACAAGACAAAGATGGTTTCCAAATTCAAAGGGAAAAATCCAGAGCTTTTTATAAAAGTCTTCCTTCTTCCTTTGAGTCCTCTAAATGTTGATGTTCAGACATTAAACTCAAACAATGAGAGAGAGCAGAATCCTGAAAATGGAAGGTGTGGAGGATGCAATTCAAATCAAGGATCCCCTTTTGAGACAAAGGAAAACCCAGTTTTCCATTGCAGAAAAATGGCTGCCTGATCTGTTGGCCTCTCCTTAGCTGTCTGCTGAAGGATGTTTTTAGATCCGCGTCTAATAACTCAAGCCCTATGGAAGCTGCGCGCTGATTGGATGCGCCCGCCTGGTGCCTCTAACCAGCCAATTACCTTAACCACGTCCAAATTACACACCAAAAAGCACAAGACGAGGTTAAAAAAAACAACATACACACACACACACACAGAGAAAGAAAAGAAAGGGAACCCACACACGCGACCGCGCGTTCACACATGCACCAGGAGGCCCTAACAAGGCGACCCTGGATGCGGGGCGGGGTGGGGTGGGGGAGAAGAGAGAGAGAGGGAGGAGAGGGGAAAGAGAAAATCCAATTGAGGCCCCCCTCTTATTTTATTTTAGATTTATTTATATATATATATACATGTATTGCCCTGGTGGAGCTGCTGCGAGCCGCACCAAAATGGAAGGTCCGAGCTGATTGGTCGCTCCGCTCCTCGAAGCAGCAAAACGGCTACTTGGCTTCCTCTCTCCTCCCCCGAACCGGGGAAAGTGACACATTGTAACAAAACGGGGGAGCCCCCCCC